TCCATAAAGACGATCTGTAACTGTCGCTCGGCCAGCACGTTGCCAGGAGAGTAGCCACGGAGCTGTGGACCGCTCTTACTCGAGCTACTATCCGGACATGACTTCACATGCTTGTCCACGTCAATCCAATAATAATCGGACTTACCACGATGGAATGTTCTAGCCACACCTTGATGTCCATCTTCTCGCGAGTCGTGACAGCTCTGCAAGATCTTCTGAATCATCGTTGTCGGTATCACAAGCCGCAGCTTGGTCTCTTCTTGTTAACCGTGGTCGTACCGACGAATCAAACCCAGATAGGCAAGCGTGCCGTCTTCTGATAATACGAATCGGTCAGCATATTTCCAGGCATCTCGGACTTCTTTATAATTTATCTCTTCTGCTTGGCCCAGAACTACCTTTTTGATGTTTGTCCACCTCTGCTCCTCATTTGGTGCCAAAATTATCGCTCACGCTGTTTTGCTACAGGGTCAACATCTTCCGCGTCGGAAAATGCCGCTGGCACAGTCTTTGGAAGATGGCCTGTCGAAACTTCACCGATTGAATCTTCGCTGGCCACTTCTTGTCGTTCCTCACGCTGCTCTTAAGCTTTTGTGACCCCTCCGAGTGTTCATCTGCAAACATGACGCGTTTCTTGGTTTTCGTCTGTCACCTGGTCATCACCGCCATATTACCATAATCGTACTCTGGTGAATTGCAATCAACCACGAAATTTTTGAACGTTTCCCGCTTTAAGGCCCTTGTTCAGGTAGATAACTGTGTTCTGTGCTTCAGACTGGGTTAGGGCTTTCTGCTAGTCTAATTTGTGCTTGTCGATTTCATAATCTGTGCTGTGGTTGTCCAAGTAAATTCTGCCTTCATTGGCAGCTATTGAATGCGCCATTTTTCAACTCTCCGCCAGAAGTGCACTACAATGTCGAGCCGCCGTGTGTGCTATCTGCTGTTGTAGGGCTAACAGCATCGTGGGCGGACCTTATCAACCACTGCTTGAATCTATGTGCTGTCGCTCATGTGCCGCGCGACCCCTGTCTCTGCCAAGCGCACCGCACAATAGCAAGCTTCCCGGACTTCCGGCTGGAATCCAAGCGATCCGTGTTGCAGGGCAAGAAATGCCTTTCTCTTCCCTAGCACAATTGTTCTACATCTCTGGCTGGTGTTTTGGAAAACCGCATTCTAGAACACGAACGAGCAAAACATATGGAGGACCTCCGTAGCTCTTTGCCAATCAAATTGCTTTAAATTATTCGGCCCAGAACACGTTCTCCACTTGAACAAGGGCCTAAAGACTCGCTGTCGGTCAGTACATGCATCTGACGTTCCGTTTCGTGGAGCTATCACCGAGGCTTCGTTCGACTGGTTGATCATTTCTTGGATACCGTTCATCGACGCCAAATCCGAGTTTCAGCCAAGCCCACACGACTGGCCTTCGATTTCAGCGCTTCAGTGGCCAATGAATCCGCGGCAACGTTGTATTCTCGTACCATATGGAGAAATGTCACTGATCGAAGCTTGTCCGTGAGCTCCTTGTGGATATTCAGCAGCGCTAACAGTGTCTTCCTCCTGCATGCAATCACCCTAGTAATAGTAGAATCGCGAGTCCTAAGTAACCAACGATGACTAAATCTTCGGCACCGTACGCAATGACTGCCTTGACACCGTTTATCATCCCTGTGTACTTAGCTTCGAGTGACACATGATTATTCCGCAAAACAAGAAGCAACCGGTGCCTCATCTCGGGAAAAACATGATCAAATTGGCGGTGGAGCCCAGCGTAAGCCTAAACGCCGTGTCCTATACGTAAATATGCGGCGCCGAGAGCGTACCAACGTTGTCGTACTGTCATCAGAAGAGCAATACTGCTATGCAAAAGCTGTGTTTGAACCTGTGATGGAACATCTAACGGAATAGTCGAGTCCAGCATTCTACTCCGCCCTGAAGGCCTGGAAAACAATAGCTAACAAAGGTATACACGATGTTGGATCAGCCGAAGAGCAAACATCACGCGCTACAACAGTGCCATATGAAGACGGATCATGATAAGACTTGGATGCTATCGACACTACGTCTGACATAACGCTAGCAGACCTAATTGAAACTATGAATTTCATTCGTGAAATGGAGAAAAGTGAGCTCGATCTGCAAAGAAATACTACAAGGGCCGAGGTGTCGCAGGAAAGTGGGCTGGGTAGGTCAACCTCCCGGAATGAAACAACTTCGTCCAGTGACATTGACTTCGCCACCTCTTCCACTACGGCGAAACCTGGCGTGCCTTCGAACTAAAGAAGTACTACCCGGCAAAAGCCGCCATCACGGTCAAATCTACGGACGAAACCCCAGTGTGAAGATCTATTCCCCCCCCCCTCCAAAAAAAAAACTGCAGTATGTAAAGGCAGAAGCGACAAAGAAAAGATCGAAAAAAGCTGGAGCACAAGGAGGCCGGCTTGAAGTGCTACGTGTTCCAAACCCCAATCCACGGAGCAACCAACGAAAAACCCTAAAGCAATCTCAGCTGGAGAAACTCGCAAAGCATTATAAGCTAGCCGTTATTACGTTGCCGGACAAACGTGTGCCATCTGTGTCTCGCGGCATCGTGTGGGTAACAAATACTACCGACCAGAATCATGTCAGCGAAATCTTGGCAGGCTACCAAACGATCTGGGACGATGATTTCATGAATGCACGTATTGCACACAGCCGTCGAGCGTCTGTGTCTCCCAAGGACTACGTCTACAGCTTTGTGATTTCCAAACCGCTAGTAATCAAGCTGAAATCGGTCATTGAAGCAGAATGGAAGAAGCGACCCAAGTCGAAGTATTTCAACCCCGTGGTTGAGCACCAGGACAGCAACACCGAAGCAATTATTGCACTTTTCCTGGTGGAACGCCACGATTTATAAGGTAAGCTTTTGTTGTGTTGCTTGTTGTGTTGTCCGGTGTGTTGCTAGGTGTGTTGCTGTGACTGAATTGCTTCTACAATGCTGTTGGTTGCTGTACAGATCCGTTACAACAGTGAAGCTGTCTTCAAAATGTCGGAGTTTTACAACGTGATAAAAACAGCTAACGCATGGAGAGCTGACATGGAATAGCTGCAAACGATCAAATGGAGCAATATCCTTGCAAACCCAGAGCTGTTCAAAGCGGAGACTGAGTCGGACGACATATTCTTACTGTCGGCGGGGGGAAAACATCGGGAGCTGACAAACGAAGTGGTGGTACAGCTCGAGGGTGCTTGTTTAAATTCTACTTTCCGACTATTAAGCGGTGAAGGCACCGTTAGGTCGACACGCTCGTTGGAATGCTTGCGCGCGATAGAATGTTCTCTAAGGTCATTAGCATTTTCAGTGTTCGATGCATCTGCGATGCGCTGGGAGATTGTTATGCATTGGATTCAATTTCGCCAACTATGGGCTGTCCGAAATCACCCCAGCCACGGATATCAAGCTTCCACTACCTTGTGTTGCCTCTGCATTTAAGCAACATTCATTGGGGTGTCAGCGTCGTCGCCATTGTTTGCAAAAGAGAAGATCCGTGCTTTACGCCCTACTACTACGAGCCAATGTGCGGAGCTTCGTATTGGGATACGATGGAAGCGACTTACACGTCTACGGCTCTGCAATTTTTGAAAGCGTGGCATGATAAAACCATGCCGAATGAAGATTATCCGGTGAAGCACAGTAACGTATTGTTAATCTCGCCAAAGCAGCCCGATGGAACCTCGTGTGGTGTGTTGACTATAGCCCAAGTGTTTTCCGTGTTGAAGGGCAGCTTCCCGCTTGCACAAGGTGCCGTTACAAAGGACGATATCACAATTATGCGGCTACGTATCATAAGGATGATAGTTATGCAACCAGACGTTAACACTGTAGCAAACCAAATTGCTAAGGAGATAGAGGCGACTGACTTGGAGGTACTTGCGACCATAAAACATTAGCACGAGCAGTTGCTTTCGCCAAATGGTATTGATGTTTAAGTAGTTACCTTATCTCGTCTTCTTCCAGTGACTTTGCATTAAGCTGACTTAAATGTGCTCTAATAGAGCTTCGCAGCACTGTTCGAGAGCCACTGGGTACGACATCACGTAGCCTGTTTCGTTCGTAGGTATCCCAGCAGCGACGGCAAGGCGGATAGTATTTTCCTACTCGTAAGCTATCATCAGAGCCAACTCGTCTCGTTCATTCATAAGCTCTAGATAATACTGTGAAATTTTGTCCAGCTTTTCTTCTATCAGCTTAATATTCTGGAGGCGAGAGCGCAGCATTTGCTTGCAAACCATAGCCTTTCGAGTGCCTGAGAGAGTGGTGCCGTCATTACCTTGTGGCTAAAGCGTCGGGGGGCGGGGGGGGGGGGAAGTTGATCGGAACAAACGCCGTCGAAGTATTGCTGGTGCCTCGGTCCATTTTGTGTGCGCGTCAACAGCCGCTCTTCCTCTTGGGCTACTGTGATATTTGTCAAATGGCTTATGAAACTTTCAAAGCTCCGGTATTTTATCTCTGGAAAGATGGAAGCCTTAAAATAAATTGCGCCTTGCGTTGCTTCTGGGAGTTGCTTCTTGTGATTACGCTGATGTGTATAGGATCGCTTTATCGGAATGAGCATTTACTGCAGCTTTAGTAAATTTTCGCTCATAAACCTATAAATTTTGAAACAAAACAGAATTCACTCCAAATATGAGTCCACATTCATGGCGTTATTTACTTGCTGGTCGCTGTTATGAAGCCACAAAAAATATAGTAAATAGCACGCTGATTCAAGCTTTCGAATAACAAGCTCGTGTTGGAAGTGCTAATTTCAAAAAACCGAAATCCCTATAAATTGGTGGGACAGAGAAGTACTATTCCAAACCCTTTTTTAATTTGCACTGCCATCGTATTAGAGGGGTTAAAATTAAGTTGTTTGTTCTCTTTATTAAACTGCACACTTTGGACAATCCTAATTACAGGCAAATTACAAAAAGATGTAGGCAACACTAGTACTCAATAAATCATGGTCGGGGTTTCCGTCTCAGATATTGGCGTAGTGTGGCTGCTCATGTTCCAGTAGTGGCTGCAGCGTCTTCCCGTGCTCCTTAAACCGGAGCGTCGTCCTCATTGGGAACGTGGGGGCTGCCGCGTGGAAGGAGGCAGAGTAGAAGGAGCTCTTGTAGTTGAGCTGGTGCAAAGGCTGAGGCAACGTGGCAGGAGGTTGCATTCGATGTCTCTGAAGCACCCAAGTCAACGGAGGAAGTTGATTCAGTCCAGTCGCATCACTCGTTAGCAGAAATCGAGGTTTAGGAGAGCATATCATTGGCTTGGTAGAGTCCACATCACTGACCGAAGTGGGGGAGCAATTGAAGGTCTTCCTCTCTTTACTCAGAGAAAGCAGCAGCTCTGGAGCGGCCAATGAAGGCGAGGAAGGCGTCGTCATCCGTGTTGTTAGCCGTTCAGTATTTCTCAGCTTCTCGGCAGCGAGAGCTTCACGACGGAGTTTGGCCTTGATGGTACGATAGGGCCATCGGTATTTGCGTCGTTGACAGATACGTTTGAGCGTGATCGGAGCCACACCAAGCTCTTTAGCAGCGTCGTCTTGGCGGTAGTGCGAGTATAGCTGAAGCGTTTTGATGGAGAAGTCGAACTTGCGTCGACTCTTGCGTTCAGGCTGGATCGACTGGACGTTCTTCTTGCTGGAAGATGGCGTGGATGGAGGGGTGAACACCTTCATGGAGTGAAGATTGAATGTGTAGGTCGATTTGTTAGAGAGCAGGAGAATTGAATAATGAAAAGGAGCTTGAGCTGACCAAGAGCTGCAACCGAAAGACATTGGTCACTGGAGGTCGGAACATACGTTGTTTGGGCTATGTTCAAAGGGGGGACTCAACTACGTTGGTACCAACACCCTTTGCGTGAAGAGCTCAGGTCCAGATTGACAAGTAGATATCCAGAGCATAAACTACGTAGCTTATCGAGATGGTAGTCGCGAAATTCTGGATGCTTGCGGTGGACTCCAGCCGTTCCATGCAAGCGGAGCCACTGCTGCGAATCATACGGGGGCGCAACACCGTTCGACAGCTCCGGATGCAAAGCAATCTACATCGCCTTACACCACGAACGAGAGTTGGCCAATGGTGCAGCTCTGAATCTTTTTGACGCTGTCTGACGGTGGCATTGTTCATCTGTCCGCTCGGTCCAACAACAGCATGTATCTGTTTGCACCCCTTCATTGGTGACGGGTCTCCAAGCATAGAGATTCCCAGCAGGAATCTCAGAGCGATATACTTGTAGAGTGCTCCCATCTCGATCACCTCGGGTCAACAAAAAGTTGTACCGTATCTTTCCTTTCTGCTGGACTCGCCACGGCTATTGGGGACACGTAAAGGTCTTGAGCGAGCATTCGAGCGGGTCTTAGTACTACGTGGGACTTTTTTAACTCGGATCAACTTCGAATTTCGTTGGTGTCGACGAAAAAATGAAGAGCTTGATTCTGAAATCTACGTTAATCACTCTGCGTCAACTTCAACAGCTGACGAGGACAACGATGGGCTCGGATAGTTCAGCAATCAAAAGTAAAGTTGGCATAAGAACGAAATTTGGTTTTCTCGAAATAGAGCTGAAAGTAAATTGCTTAAAAATACCGAAATCCAGGAAGTCTGACGACATCAAAGGGCCTTGAGCGCCATCAGTTGAAAGCCAGTGGAGAGGAGCGCTCTAGGACTCAGAGGCATGTCCCTCATGCGACGCAATGTGGGTCTAGTGTCGGACTCAGGTCGGGAGCGCGGTGGCTCGACGATCTGGGAAGATGAAGCCGACAAATACTGGAAGAAGATGGAGCCGGCTAAGCGCTGTCGAAGAATTACCAACTATCTCGGCGGACTTGTGGTCGTCGTGCTGCTCTGTGGCGGCGTCTTTGTCGGCGCTCGAACAGCGCTCGACGCTGAGAACATTGCAGCGCTGAAAGCCAGATTCATGTCCCCCATTGTAGCCGTCACTCCCGAAAACCTCTCGAATGTCGAAGCCAAAGCAGTCGAGGCTACAGCCACGATAGTACCAACTCCAGCTGCAACGGTCGAAACAGACCAGGAACTGCTGCGTGGACGCTGTCGAGTGCGCGGCGTGCGGTCTCGCTGGCACGAAGAAACGTGCAGGAAGCTCTGCGTGCGGTAGGCTACGATTTCAACAATGTAGCTGTGTGATCTTCTCCTGTTTTTTTTTCTCTAACGAGGTCTGTGATGTCTTTGCCAGCGACCCGCACAACGCCGCGTGCATGAACGGCTGCTCGTACGGGTCCCTCACGGTGACCAAGCTCGTGTGCGACAAGATGGAGGCTGCAGAGGCCGCGTCGGCCTCGCGTTGTCCGGACGGCGTGAGCTGCATGGAGGCGTGCCGCGCCTACGACGACGAGACGCCCTTCCCAGATCTGCGCAACTCATGCGTCCGCGGCTGCTCCAACATCGTACCCTCGGCCTGCGCTCGCTCTCTGCAGATATACCGGGACCTCGCTCAAGGCGCGATCCAGTAGCAACCACTAGTAAAATATTCACGCAAGTCGATTGCAACCACCTATTAAGCATGAACGCCAATATAAACGAGATAATTATCGCCATCTAAAAAAACTTCAACGTCAGGCCTCTGGTGGCCCGTCGTTACTGCCCTACAAGTTTGTCGTTGCGTGTCACCTACAGAGACGAAGCAGAACCAATGGGCCGTATCACAAACTGGGGGCGGCTTCAACCAAGACGTCGTCGCCAAGTCGCTTTCTCGAGCGCATCCCAATTGTACCCGGGGGCTGTAGTCGCGTTGTATCCCCACAGCCCACCTCAATTGTGTGGGCTCCGTTGTCTTGGATGCGGATGGACCCGATCCCGTGGAAATATTTACGTGTACTCCAAGAGGATCTCCGTCTTCGGTCTCCATTAGAGTCTGGCGTGTCTGGGGGTCCGCTCCGTCTTCCGCTGGTTAACACAGGCGATGAACTTTTCGACGTGTGGGGCGCACTGATCCCCGCACCTTCCTGGCTCGCACCCTTCGACTGGATCCAAGCCCACGTTTCTTGTGTCCGTCCAAAGTGGCTCCGCTATATCAGCGCGTCTACTGTGATGGGGGGAGCTTCATACAAACGTCTATAGAAACTCGAAATCTGGTGTCATCAATTACGCTTCAACGTCCCAGTCTCTTCCGACACCATGCAACTAGAAAACAGTGGTAGTGAGACCCCGCCGTCTCCTTCCGTCAACGATAAACGAGAGAGTTCACAGGCGGTGCAACGTCTCGCTTTCGATGGCTCATTCCACAACTTGCCCAGTTGCGCCTCACTGCTGACCCCCCCCCCCTTCTTCACAAACCATGAAGACTTGCCCTACCGCTTCGACGCCAACGAAGACCAAAGCCAAGACCAGTCGCAAGTGCTCCGAGTCGAAAAAGGAGCGCAAAAGTCGACGCGTGTACGACTTCGACTACGACTTCCTGTCCCAGTTCTTCCACATGCCGCAGAAGCAGGCCGCCGAGCTCATCGAGGTTTCGGTCATCACGATCAAGCGCAACTGCAAGCGCCACGGCTTCAAGTGGCCCTACCGCGCCAACAAGTACAAGAACCGCAACAAACCAGTGCTGTCCGACAAGGCCAGAGCTTTCCACGAGTTGCCGCTCGTGTGCATGAAGGAGCAGATCGAAGTGTCCATGGATGACGTGGCCCAGCAGTCGAGCGAGTGCGAGACCGACACGGAGAGCATCGAGGACGACGAGCTGGTGAAAAAGAACTTTTGCGAGATCCTCTTCATGCTCAAGACAGCAGCCGTCTCTGACATGTCGAGAGATTCAGGTGTAGAACAGTAACCCCCTTCGAGTTGGTTTATTTGCGAGGCAAAGTAACTTGGTGCTCATTGCTCGAGTAGTAAAATTATATGAAATCTTCTTTTCCTCCTGGGATACCTCAAGCATATAGTGTCGACTACTTCAGACAATTTACAAAACTACTAAACGTTGCCACCATACAGGTTGACTTCGATTCTTGAATTCCCGAGATTGATGCAGAGCTACTGTAGATCTCAATTCGGACTCGAAACTGGTAGAATTTGCACATCCGGATTCCAGTTTCCTGAAACGAGATCCTCTCGAGCATTTTTGAAAAGCTTACGCTGTGGTTATCCACAAGCAGCGGATTCGAAATTACCGTAGAATGCCACTAAAAAAAATGCCAACCCACCCAGAGAGAGTCGACTCATACTGGAGATCGTGTTCACCAGATTCGTGTTAAACCGCCAGATGCAGTCGACTTGCTGGATAGATCTCATCTAACGTGACGTGCATCATCCACTACCCCACCCAGCGAGATCTCCGATACAGGGCCAAGTCCAACGTGGCCCCAGCCCAACTCCGAAGCCACGTCACTTCTCAATTTGCCAACTCCAAGGCACATCTTCCACTTCTGCCAAAATGCCCCGCTACTTCGTGGTTGACGCACGCTTCAGCATGAGCAACGACCCCAACTGTCCTCTCCTACACACTCGCAATGTTCACCACCGCGACATCCAACAGCCGAGCCTCAAGCCTCGAGCTCGCAGTGGCTCCATCTCAATCTCGTCACTCGGTGCTTTCCCAGCATCGCCAGTCAACCGGTTCGCCCAGTCCATGGGCCCCGAGCGCACCAATCCAGCGAGCGAGCCCTTCTGGACTCGACACACCACGCCAGCCATGTCCACTCGACGCTATGATTTCGTGTTGGACGATCCGTGGGACTTTACGTACGCCGCAAAGTCCAACCGACGAAGTGTGTGGCGCCGATTCGCCGAAAATGTCGACAAGTGCGTCTTCCGCGTCATGAGCAAATTCTACAAGTAGAAGCCAAAAATTACGATTTGTGTAGTTTTCTGTAGTTTTGAAGTTAATCGCCCCTTCAAGCCCAAAGGTAGGCTTAAACGTGGGAATGTCGATATTTATAAGTAACGTCGTCGTTATTTCCCTCCATTTACACGCCGATACGCTCCATCTCGGGAATCCGAGACACACTGCGACAGAAAAGCACCTGAGCTGCCACTTCGATGTCCAGTCGCGCCTTCTTCTCCCTCATCAGCTGGCCATAACTCGTAAACGCTTCTTGAAACGGCGTCGAGACGGCGCTAATGCACAGATACTTTTTCGCCAGTCGAGCGAGCGACGGGAACAGCCGCTGATAGCGACTCCACCACTCCAACGGGTCATGCTCGCTCTCATCTGTCGCCGGTAGAGACGGCGAGTCGAGATATTGTTGCACCTGCGTCTTGAGTTTGTCAAGCTCCGTCGCTGGCTCGTCCAGGGGGAAGAACTCGTGCAACAAAGCGGCGGCCTTTTTAGCGTTCGTAGCTGCTCCACTCGAAGCCTTCGCACTCGGATTCTGCTTCTTGTGTTCCTCCGTTTGGTCTTCTTCAGTCGCGACATCAGAGGGCTGATCTACAGCCTCCACACCGTCGTCTTTGTCGTGGACACCAAGAAGCAGGTAGAGCGATTCTACCAATCGCTCCTTCTCCGATACCGGTAAAAACGGTAATGACTTGAAGCGTGGGTCTAACAGACACGACAAATACGGAGACGACGGAGCCTCGCCAGACAAGCACAAGTCCATATTGAGGTTGCTGACGATCGTATGGCGCACAGTGGCAACCAGCGGGTCGCTGACCCACGTGCCTGCATCTGCCAAGTGTTTCTTCAACGAGTGTAGCAGCGGATAAATGATCGATAACCCAGGATACGCCAGTGGCGACACGTGCACCAAACCTTCGATGGGGTCCAGTAATCGAGCGAGTTGCTTCAACGACGCCCACTCTTCAGGAGACAATTCACAGCACACAAAGCGCAGCTGCATGGGTCGACGCGCTGGGTTGCTGTCGCTCTCCAGTCCCGTTTTGTAGCGTAGCAACATTCGCTCCAGCTCCACAATCCTACACATCATCTGCGTCGTGGAGTTCCAGCGGTCGCCGAAGTCGCAGATCACGGGCAACGACTCGCCCACGCTGCCATTCGAACCAGAGGAGGCGGATGTAGAGCTGGCGTTCTGGACGGAAGACGCGGCGTCGTCTGTGGCTGCATCCGCGTCCTGTCCTTCCTTGACGCCGTCCAGCTCGTCTCCGATCGTAGCGTTCCCGTTCTCAGCAACACTTACACTGACGCCGTCTGCGGTGGCTGCAATGGAAGCTGTTTGGGCTGAAGCAGCGGAGGCAGCACAGGCCTCTTCGCCCATACTGCGCTGCAGAGCGAGGAAAATCTGGTACTCGGACGGGTTCTGGATGAAATACGACACGTAGTTGCGGCATCGACGCGTGAGATCAGCGCACTCGCGTAAGCCAGTCGACACGGCGCCCTCAAGCTCCTCCACAAAGCACCGCACCACTGCCAAGCCAGGATACTCGCTGTGGATCGCAGTGGCCTCAGCCTCGGCTTCTGCTTGGGCTTGTGCAACTGTCCGTGGACTGTCGCTATCTTCTTCGTGTGCAGTATTCGTAGTGGACGTGTGTGGACGCATCGTCAGCGCTGCAACTTTGGACGACGGGATGTCCCACTTGTCCATGACATCTCGTAGCAGCGCGATGGTGTTCACTCGCTCATCTAGAGGCAGCACATACACCTCCAGCACACAGTCACGACGTCGGAAACCTCGCGAGATCCAGTGGCCACTGACTGTGAGCACGTTCTGGCCAAACACCGACGTCCAGTTGTTCAGCGACAGGCTCAGCACTTCCACGTCCGCCATCACTTCCTTCAAAATCTCTCGCTGCGAGTAATACAGATTCGCTAGCGCCAACTTGATGGCGTCTTCAGACGGGAGTTTGGGTACCGATCCGCCCAAACCTCCTCCGAATCCCAGAGTGCCGCCGAAGCCAAAGTTCAGTCCTGGCGTCGGCCACTCTATCGAGCCTCCGAAGAGCAGCATACTGAGTTCTGCCCCCATATGAGAGACGTCCAGAGGCTCGTATTGCGCAATCAGATACTTGAGCAGTCGGTGCGTCAGGATCTTCTGGTTCGCTGCGCTATTCGCGGCATTGCCACTCGTTCCGCTGATACTGGAGCTATGTCGGCGTCCGCGCAGTCCTGTGCTGGACGATCCTGAGAGTGTAGAGTAATCAAAGAACCTCTGGTCCAGCCCGACACCTGCCATCTCGATAGCCGCGTCATTAAGCTCAAAACCTGCTGGGAACTGTAATGCGCCTGACGTGGCTGTGGCTGTGGATCCTCCTGGCAGCGTCACGAAGCCTGACGGGTCAAACTCCGTCCCTGCCACTGTCAAGGCAGCTGTCTGTTCCGTCTGGTCCGCCACTTTCCTTCTCTTAAGTGCGGCGCCTCCACTCGCAGCGCGTCTTCTGGCGGTTCTCAGCTCAAGGAGCTGGTGTCTCTGCTTGCTACCCAGCGGGTCGCTAGGAGACAAACAAGCACCCAACACATTCGCAGTGTCCGCCGACATTAACAGACCAGAGCCTGCAGCGTTGCCGGCTGAGGTTGCGGGGGATGCGATCGCCTGGAGCTGAACTGGACGACGATGGAGCCCTCTCGGGTACTCGTAGTCTGCTGCGCACTTGCCAGGCGCGTATTTCTGGTGTTTCTTCCGCAAGTGGCGGTTCATGGTGCTAGTGCCGCCCGAGTAGGCGAAGCGCGTGGTCTGCGCGGGGCATAGCGTGCAGATAACGAACTTGCCGCTCGCGTCCTTCACGAAATAGTCCCAGATGAAGCTGGGCAACGCTATGGCCGCCTCGGCCTTATCTCGGCCGCGGCCGCTTCGTCGACCCAAGGCGACGGAGGCAGTGGATAAATCGACATCGTTGGCCGCATCCGTCGCATGAGATGTGTCTGCGTCCTCCGGAGTCTTGGAGTGATGGTCGCTCTCGTCCAAGACGGCGTCCGGCGGTTCGAGGATCAGCTCGGTGTCCATTTCTGACCGAATTTGCCTTAGAAATGTATGGAGCCGCGGTTCGCTACGGGCCACTTAATTATTGACCAATGGTATTAACTAAACACAAAGATTGTCGGAGACTATTTTTGGGATAGGTACATTTATCTTCGGGGCCCACATTAGGGGCTTATAAAGTTGTCATTAATTAGGATTTTTTTTGGCGGAGATGAGCCTCATTTTTGTCGAAAAATGCGCCTCCCGAGCAGGGGCTAATGGTAATCAAATATCATATGATATTTTGGATTGTAATAGTACTATTTTGATATTAAATCTTAGTAGTAACTCATTTTTGCCGTAGTTAGCATAATATTTAAATGTTAACTCGGAGAACTGAAAATATTAGATACTACATAATATTATATGATATTTTTCCACTTAAGTACGTTTCTTGCCACCTTACCCAGCCATATAACTTTTTCGATCAGGTTCTAAAAAAGCAGTAGGCTTTAAGACTGTATTTGCTCTAGTATTTCACCGTGACACAGACAAAGGCGATCGAGATGGAAAACTGCAAACGCTTGCAGCTGTTTAACGTTGATAGAGCGAAATCAAGACATTTGTTCTTGTTCTCTACCGATCTCCTCGTCCACATCGTGCGTCTAATAAACCTGCTGCCTATGGCGCTAGATTAATGCGCTCAGCAGTGCCAACATACGACGCCAACCTTGCCGTCACTCTCACAATTGTCCCTCCCTCACGGTTGATTAGTAATACTTCAGCTAGTCGAGAGCTAACGACATCGGATTAGTTAATTTAGCCTGATTACGCAATCTTTAAAAAAAAATATCGTATTAACTAATATTAAGTTGATATTTTATAATATTATATTGTCTTAGTAAGGTGATATTTTTTATATTAACTGGTCTACAGGTGATATTTTTACAATATTAACTTCACCGATTTTGGAGTTACCATTAACCCCTGCTCCCGAGCCGCATTTTTCCAGCTGATTCTCATTTTTAGGGGTACGCCGCTAAATATATAACCTGGTTACTTTCGAATCTGGTGGCTGGGAAGCGAAGGGTACAGCATGGCACGCCAAAAGGGCCAGAAGGGTGGCCACACCACCTTACTGCAGAGGCAGTTTATGGTGGAATGGCTGAAAAAACCGGCTAATTTCAATGTGATTGTGGGCAAGGCAAATGACGACCACTCTGCTGGCTTTGGAGGGGCGCGCACAAAGATGTCAGGCTTCGGTCAAATGGCAGAGTACGTGTTCACATCTTGCTTGAAGACTTTTGCGGATGCAGGTTCGCCGATACCGGCTAAGTATACCGAGCGATGGGATATATCGAGCGATGGGATGCTTATACATGCCAAAGCCGCTGGACATCTTACTTTAAGGTGTTTAGGAATATCAGGGAAAGGTTAGACTTCCAGACGGGATTTGGCCTTACTGAATCGCAGCTCGAAGCAGGGCTGGCGCTCGAAGAAGCTGTTGAAAAAGCTTGTCCGTTCTACTACGACATCGAAGGCCTGTTTGGAGACCGGCAAAACATTTCTCCATTCTCTACCATGGACAATCCGTCAGCGAAGCCCGCGCCATCAGAGAGCAGGAAGAGAGACGGGATGAGCGCCAGCTTCGGTTCAGGGAAGCGCAATCGGCTGTGCGCAAGGAGTTGCTTCTGCAACTTCTGCAGCGTGGCAAGACCGAAGACGAAGCTTTGTCACTTGTTGACCAAATTGCGCCGCTGTAGCAAGCCACAGATCCACATGAAGATCTTTCGTAGAGCCTTAATCCAACAGAATCACACAGCACCAGCCAGGAAGAAATTATCTTGTGGAGCCCGTGTGGACCGCGAATTGCGCCACTTCGGCTTGGTGCTCCGGGCTACGGTGCATCGCGCGTGAGTTCCCCTTTGAGTTCGTATCACTGAACTGTTGCCTATTGGGGCCTGCTCATCAGCACCCATCACCGCGC